CTGACCATCAAGGACAACAAATTTTGTTTTGTTTTGTTTTTTGATCGTAGTTGATTTGATTCGATGATAATGAATGATGACGATAATAATAATAATTGTTCAAACAACAACAAACAGCATCGATCATCATCATCATCGACAAACATTTTCAAACATTGGAACGATATCGATTATGAAATAGCAATTTTTTATGTTTTTTATGTTTCTTTCACATCATCATTCGATAATTCTGATTATAATCATAATCATGTGGGGAAGATTAATTGGATAACCTTGTCTGATGATCTCATCAATCCTTTTGTTTTGCTCTATTGTAGATGCTAACTATGATTACATACATACCGATTTGTTGACAACATTGATGTTGTTGCTGTTGTTTGTTTTTTCCAAATATTTCATTCATTTCTATCCAGAATTCATGTATGATCGATACTATTTTGATTTTGATTGGATAAATTATGAAACATTTGTTTCGTGCCGAAACACAAACACACGACATTGATCATTGATCGAAATTCGAAATTTCAATAGATTTGAACCAATCGTTTTTTTTCACGCAGGAATTTCATCACTAAAATTCTATTGCTAATAATGATGATAGAATTAGATTTGTTCATTAATTTTTTTGTCCTGTTTCATTCAAATTTGAAATTGATCGAACAAGACATTTTGGAGAAAATTTGGAATTTTTTTTCATTTTACGAAAAAATCTAAGCAAAAACATCGATTAATATTAGGATCATTTAGAATTTTTGTTGTTGCTGTTTTTTCCCATAAATCATGAAAATAATGTTGACATTTCAATGAACATCTAATCTAATCATTTTTTTAATTTTTTGTTTTGTTTGCGTGTTTGTCGATCAATAATGGATTAAGAATGTGTTTGAATTATGTTCCATTAGAATGACATTGACAAACAAAACAAAAATGCAAAAAAAAAAAACATCATTGAAGGTAATTGAAATTGACCACGAAATCATCTTCAACAAAATCGTTTCATTTGTTATTGTTCATTGTTGAAAAAAAACTGCAAATATTTTTCCTTGAACAAAATATTCTATTCAAATTGTTCCATTGTTAATCGTAATTTTTTTGCCTGCTTTCTAAATTTAAATATTTTTTCATTTTATAATAACCAAATTGCTAGCATTCATTTCTGTTAGTTTATAGATTCTGATTTAAAAAAAACAAACAAACAACAAATGATTTACCAAAATGGAAGTTGAATTGAACTTATGATTTATTAATATCATCGAAGTAAAATTGTTTAAAAAAACTAACAGATTAAAATAATAATGGCTCCAATCTGTTTTTAGCAATCATAAACCGATCTCTTTATCATAATTTTTATTATCATTGTTGCTTTTCGATCCCGAAAACAATAGTAAATTTTAATAAGAATGACAAAAACAAAATGTAGTTATTATTTTGCATCTGTTTTGTATATTATTATTATTAACATCATAATGCCTGAATCCACATTGAAGTCTTTGACAAAACATGCACAAGTAGTAGAAATATAATCATCGAAAAAGAGTTTCAAATTTATCATATCATATCTGGTTTTCGTGTTCATTTTTTTCATCAAAAATGTTGGCAAAATTAATTTTAAAATTTTAGATAGTTGAAAAATGAAATAAACTCAAAATACTTTGCTAAACACATTGAAAAGGAAATCTTTTGTCCACATAATCAGTAAAGACAATAAAAGTTATATCGCATTTGGAAATCGCACACATTCTTTTCATTTTTTTCAACATATTTTTCTTTTTCTTTTTTAATTCGTTCAATGACCACAATTCAATTTTCATTCATTCATACTGATGATCAACAACAGCATATCATCATCATGAAATTTTTCACACTCGCAATGAATTGATGTGAGAAAAAGAAATATTATTGGGTAAATTTAATTAAAAATTCCGAACACACATATTTTTTTGTTTTAAATGGAAAACAATATCATCATCATTTTGTTGTTTTTTAAGAGATAATTATTTTATTGTTCAATTTAAAATAAAACATATAAATTTTTCTAAATGTATAATGTGCGTGATAATTTAAAATTCTTTAACAAATTTTTTTACCGTTTCAAAAAAAAGTGAAAACAAAAACAATTAATGACATAGCATAATAATAAACAAATATTAATCGGATTTGAAATTGAGAGAAAATAAAATTAAAACAACAAACAAACAAAAAATTTCTGGTCATAAACATGATAATAATTTGCATGTTTGTTTTTGGGTTCGGTTTTGTTCTATGGCATAGTACAACAACAACAAAATCCAAATGATTCAAACATTTTTGATCGTTTTAGATGAGAAATAATATATGCTTAGTATGTACATTATGAGTATTTGATTGGAAAATAATCATACTTCCTTGGTTTTTTTCTCATACCGGTATATTAAAGAAAACAATATTGTGTACCATCATCAAAAAAAAACATAAAACGCGCCCAAAATCCTGCTACATACATCAATATGATTTTGTTCGGTTATAAATCACAATTTTCTTCATTGAGTTGTACATTTAAAGAACATACATACACAAATCATTCAAGATAATTTTAGAAAATGTAAAAGACGAGATAAATATCCCCTTTTGGTCATCCATTATGAATCGATTGGTAATTTTTCTTTTATTTCTTTTTTTCTCATCATTCGATAAATAGATCATTATCTTGAATTGATCAATTTGAAAATAATTTTACAGAGTGTAATCATGATAATCGCACACGCACACACACTAAAATATACTGATAGATTATACCAATTGAAAAAAATTCCATCAAAAATGGTATAATTTTATCAAAATTAATGCTCATAAGATGAATGATTTTCGGTATTATCGTAAAAAGTTAATTGGTATTCAAATCATCGCTAAAAAAGTGTTTTGATTAATGTTCATATGGTTCTAATGACGATGTTTTTTTTTCAGAATGATTTGCATTGAATTATCTAATTCAATCGGTAATGACATTTTTCAAGAATATTTTTTTCTGATATTCTATTATTTTGTTTTTACTTATTAATAATTTGGATAGACAACGGTGACTAGAGATAAACTTGTTGATTTGTGTGAACAATTCCTAAGGACAAGCGTACTGATATGTTTTTCCCTCAGTAACAAATTTTTTTTGCCATCATCATTTTAGATTTTATTTTGGAGGTTATCCATCATTCATGATGATACAATGTTTATTACAGTGGCTATGTTGGCTTGTCAATCATAAACCATAATTGTTGTAAAGATGATGATAGTCTACCTTCATTTTTTTCTGATGTTAAATTTAAAGCCAAAAATGGATTAAGATAATAACAGGATTGAATTTACAAAACCGGTGATCTAGGCAAAATAAAAAATTTAATTCGACTAAAAATTTTTTTTTAAATTTTGCTTCAAGGTAGAATCATTGATCAAATGATTTTGTATGATGGATGGATATTTGAAGCTATTGCCATGAATGGATTGATTGTATTATGGTTTAGAAAAACCTAAAATTTTTCTGTCATCATCTATAGACAGAAAGGTGTTAATGATACCTTGATATATGAAAAAAATAGTAAAAAAATTGAATTTCATTTCGAATTAATCAAGTCGACCATAACGGGAATTTGTTTCTTCTCTTGTACAATATTCATATTGTTTGATCATTGTTTTATGCTTTCAAATTTTTGAAGCCAAAATCAAAAAAAAAATAATAGAAAAATACAAAAATTTTGATTGTTTCTCAAAATAAATGTATGAATCGCTTCATATAATAGACAGTTGGTGATGATATTAATTTGTCAACAAGTATATCCATACAGGTCAAACACCAAAGTTTGAATTCTAAAAGAAAATCCAATGACAAAAAGAAAAAATCATTTATATTCAAAGAATGATATAAGGAAAAAGAAATCAAAATTATATGTAAATTATGTTGTTGTTGTCGGAAATGAGTGAAAAATTAAATATAAAAAACAAGCGAAATTGAAATATTTCAAATGAATAAAAACCGGTAGCAAAAAATGATAATATAATAAGCATTTCCGAATCTTTACAACAGCAAAAAAAAAACAACAAATTTCCTTATTGTTTTATGATAGTGAAAAAATTTGAAATATAAATTTAATGAATAACAAACAAACATCAATGATAAATATAATGTTAATTTGTAAATTCAAATTAAACAAAATTTTTTTTCTCGCCTCCTTTTCTTTTTGTGTCGTATACGAAAACATCCGAAAACAGATTCATCACCCCAAACAACTTCTGTATTAGGTATTTATAGCAAATAGTAAATTGGTACGCCTACAACTCAACTCAAAAAATGGGCTAGTAAACTATATTTAAGTAACAAAAATTTAAAATTTATTTTAGATGCCAAAAATTGACTAAACAAAATTAATCATCATCATCATCATCATCACCATAAACATCCCATTCATCATATATTCACATTTATTTGCAGGAAAACAAAAAATCTCATGATAATATGATATATTATTGTTGCAAAAAAAAATAATTTGATTATTAAGTTGCTCGTTGTTGAATTAAAAATATCAACTGTGAATTATTATGCACACCATATTAGATGTGATAATAATTATTATAAGTGAAGACGAAAACAAAAACAAACAAACAAAAAACAATGAAAACAAGGAAAAAACAAACGAAATTATTCAGATATTAATCAAAAAGAAGAAATCTTATAATATTTAAAATAATTAAATAGAATAAATGAAAATTAATTTTATTTCATAATCATAGTTCTATTTTCGGATTATTTGTTTTTCTTTTTGACTAATTAACCTGTTGCCGCTGAAACATTACGTGAAACAAACAAACAAAAAGAAAAAACATCACAAGATTCACAACGGTCGAAACAATATTACACAAAAACTTGACAATAACAAAACTTTCGATTTTCGATTAGTATCCAAATACAAATTCTAAAGAATTTGTTGTTCAATCGATAATCGTATGATTCATAAATCCCAAGACTTAACATAAACTTGAAAACAACAAAATTTACGACAAAAACTTTTTCTATTGACGTCTATAGTTGTAATATTGACAAAGAAAAACGAGAAAAAAACCATAAACAAAAAAGTCATTTTTCAAATAGTGTCGAAAGGTTTTTCCGTAGGATAATATCACTAATATAAAGCTTACATTTTGAAGATTCATGGCTATTCACATTCCTTAATCATAGTTTTGTAACAATGAATCAAACTGAATCTTATCTTATAATTGTTGAAGATGTTGATAATGGTTCATCCACATTATCATCTGCACCGGCCAATTTGAATTTCCTTCAAAATATCAAGCAAATCACACCTTACAAGCAAAAATTTTATCATATTTTTCAACAATATCTATGGATTTTTCCATTAATAATCGGTTTTCTTTTTCCAGTATTTTGTGTAATACTGTAAGTTGATGATTGAAATTGTTTGACTACATTTGATTCTAATAAAATTTTTTTTTCATCATACATTATCAGTTATGTGGACAAATTAGTTTCTAATGATTTACATCCAATTCTACCATTGATTAGTGATTTAGGATCAAAACCACCTGTTGCCGGTTATGTAGCACAAATTTTTGATACAATTGCGATACTAAGTAAGTAAAAAAAATTCATTCTACCATATCAATTGAATGGCTGATTGTTTTACTTAGATTTGCTCACTGTTTATGCTCGTTATGAGCAAGTGAAATTTTATATTGAAAAATATTTTCAAAACTCCAGTATTGATATTTGTCGACGTTTAAAACAAAACAATAAATATTTTACAATTTCTGGATGCGGATTTTCTCTCGGTGTGATCACATTGGGAAATTTTCGCAATACTGAACAACCAATGGAACATGGTATAGGTTTTATTATCATGTCGTGTATTCTTGGCTACATTTTTTTCACGGTAAATTTTTATCAACAAATTTCAATCATAAGTTAATTTTTCAATCAATTTTTTTCATAAATAGACAAAAATTTGTGATGATTTATATTCCTTCAAACGTATTGAATCACAACCATCCACTATCCGATGCTGTGGTTGGATTATCCTCATTTCTCTTATTATGAGTGCCCTTTTTTTAATTATCGCTGTCTCGCAACTAGATTCGATTTACCATTGGTTTGATAATAATCAAAGATTAAATTGGAAACCAAATCATCCTGGATACATATGGTTTACATTGGGTACCTTTTCTGAATGGTTTTTTGTTAATTGGTGTTCAATATACTTTTTTTCAATCAGTCATCGTATACATATTTTCAATCGATGTCATCGAATAAAATGATATTTTTACATGAATAATGGAATAGATTTAAATTTTGTTGATATTGTTCAATAATAATTTATGTCATAATTTGAACAACAAATCAATCCGGTTATCATACTTATATTTGCGAGTATTTTGAAATAAATCTTCGTTAATTCCGGCACTTTGTTCTAATCTTTTTTTTTACAATTGCAAAATCTATTCGTTCATTTACAAAATAATTTTATTATACGAATAAGTTATTGCTAGATCTTAAGGCAAGAAGCAAAACAAAACAAAAAAAAAAACAAAAAATGTTATTCTAATTATCTATTTCCTATGTTTTAGCCCAAAAATTGAATGAATGTAAATTTTTATTTGTCATTCAACACTTGTTTGAGATACGGACATTAATTCAAGATATAAAATAATTAAAATAATGAAAATTTTATGACAAAACACTGTTTTTCTTTTTGAAAATGAAAACAAAGAAATGAATAAAATATACGGATGCATCAGTGGATAGAAGAAAAACTTTGGGTCAATTCAAATTATGATAAAGATGTGAATTTTTTTCCATGTTTTGAACAAGAGTTGAATTTTTAATTTCTACCATTTTTATTTAACTGATTAAAAAAAGACAGAAATGAAATACAAGTACCGAATAATGAAAAATGAGCAAATATTTTCACAATTTTTTTTCTGTGATCAAAATGATTGGATTGATTAAATGATGAGCCAAGTAACAAAAATTGTTGTTTATCGAAAATAATCAATCATTCATCCAACTTGAATGGCAAGCACGATCCTGGATAATGCGGGACAACGATGAAAACTTTTTTTTTGCTTTCAAATCTAAACAACATAAAAAGTCAAGGTAAAAAGGCCAATTTATGAGGAATTCTTCATTAAAATTTGAATTTTCGTTTGTGAAGAAAACTTTTTTTTTAATAATAAAAACAAACAAATGTTCAGATGATCGAATATTTTTGAAAAGATGGTATACACACATTTGTAAGTGTCAGAAGTAAATTTGTTAAACAACTCTTGTTGATCAGGCTAATCACATTAGTCGTCAACAATTTAATTGAATTGAACAAATAACGATAAATCACATTAGTTAGGTCAACAGTACAAATCAGGTCGATGATCGATTTTTATTTATTTCATTTGATCAGAAGGGAAAAAATTGAATAAATTCCATAAAATTTTTAATTTTTATTTTCGAATATTTAGATAATATATTCGAATGTAGATGAATTATTCAATCAACATCATTATTATTGTTGTTGTTGTCGTCGTCGTCATTGGGAAAATAAATATAGGAAATATGCATAAATCAATGATGAAATGAAAACAAAACATAAAGAAAGTGAATAGTGAAAGGTAACTTCCTGATGATAAGGCGTAAATATGTGAATAATAATTTAACTTAAAAATAAGTTAATTTCGTGACCACTGTCGATTTACCGGATTATATGGTCAATTTCCTTTGAATCATCATTGTTGAATCTTTACCTACTGATGATAATTATTTGTCCACATACACACAACACAACACAAACAAACACACATACACACTTTGAGGTTTTTTTTGCTATTTTAATCTTTTTTTCAAACATTTAAATCAATATATGAAAGTTTCAAGTGGTCATATCACGCTTCAATTGTTGTTCATCATAAATATGAGTATATCACAAATATAATCATCCTCGAGAAAAAAACGAATAAATAATATGCAAAAGAAAATGGATCCGGAAAAAATTGAATCCTAATCATCATCATCGTCTTCATAATTGATGATTTGTATTTGGCGAAAAAAAATATTTATCTGTTTAAATATGTAATTATCGGAAAGTATGTACCAAAAAATGAAATGGAAATCATGAATTGTGAAAATATTTACGGTTTAAAAGGATAAAAAATCGTCGAACACGCTTTTTTTCGATTAAGCGGTTTTTTGTTTTGTTTTTAATTAATGCATGATGAAGAATTCAATTCAATTTGAAAAAAAATTCAGCATTTTTTTCCAATATGATCTAATAAGATTATGGTAGGAAAAAAATAAAGCAAAACAATAATGAAAATTTTTTCTTGTGTTTGTGACACATAAATTGATGATGATATCCATCATAAATCAGATTGTCAAAATTCGTGTGGTCATCTTTATATCCATTCATTCATTCATTTATTCATCCATAGAAATAGAAATTGATTTATTTTTCCTGTTTGTTTTCATTGTGATATTTTTTCTGGTTTGTTTTTGTTTCATCATTATGATAGAGGAAACATCTTCAACAAAAAAAATTTGTGTATTTACAAAATAGATCGATGCGGATACGAATGATATTCGATACGCACATCCGAACACAGCATGTCATTATTAGGCATAAATTGAAATGAAATTTAAAAGAAGAAAAAAAATGAAATGTAATAAAAATTGCGAATCGATTCAAACATACTTTAAAATCAATACAAACCACACATGTAGTGATAATAACAGCAATTATCATCTTCAAATTATTATCGTGATTAAATTGTAGATTCAATCGAATAGCTCATTTCCTAGTCAGATTTATTCTATTGATTTCATCATCAAAATTATCTTCAAATATATTTGAAATGAAAAAAAAAATCATTTATTCATAATCCTCAACCATGGCTATTTAATCATGGTATCACTAATTTGTCTATAGGATGTTCATTAACTAAACTATAGAAAAAAGTTATCGTAAAATGAAAAAATATGACATTCAAGATGATGAAAACGATTTTGATAGTCAATACGATATTTATTCAATTTAAGAAATGCTATTCAATTGGGAATTAATTAATTAATCTTTTTTTATCTTTGTTGATTATGAATACTCATCATCACCTTGAATAATCTATGATAGAATGATTTGAGAAAAATTTTGAAATTTTACATCAGTCAAGAGATAATATGATATGAATATCACTTTAATAAAATCGAATTATCATTGATTAAAATTGTGATTTAAAAACAAAACAAAAACAAAAAATCGTTGTTGTTACGTTTAATTTGCCCATCATTTCAAAGGTCAGAAAATTAATGAGTTGAGAAGAAAAAAAAACAGGATCCAAGTGTAACATCGAAAAGGAAACAAATCAAAATCAAGTATCATCATCTTCAATATCATTATAATCATACGAATGACTATCATTCCGTGTTTATTATCTGAAGAGAACGTAACGCAAAATATTTTCATTTTTTCCTTTTCACCGATATAACGAAAATTTCATGATTGAAAATGTCACCACAAGACATCATCATGCTCACACACAAACTTAACAGAAGCATATCGTTGTGTCCATTCTATTTATCATTATATACTGTTTATGTATGAATCATCATTGCCATTGCTGTCTTTTGAATATCATCAAGCTGAAGATGATGGTTATGATGATGATGACCTCTCTCATAAAAACTCTAAAGCAAAAATATTTTTCTGTCCACTTTCTTTTTTGTTTTTGTTTTTATTTGAATCTTAAGTTCCCTTATCAACATTATCATCATTATCATGTTCATCATGTTGATAATCATTTACATATTACAAGAAAAAGTTACAAGAAAAGAAATAAATAATAACAAACAATCAATAGTGATGATACTTTGGAATTTTATATCTTGTAGTAGCCATTTGTAATCATTTATGTAGACACATGAGAAAAAAAAATATTAATGTTACTTAAAAAACAAAGTAAATTAAGAAATATTGAAATCAGTGAATTAGCCAATCAAAACAATTTATAGATTTGAAAAAATTGACATATACGAATTAAATTTGATGTATACATCATTATTGTTGTTGAACATCAATTTAGTTGAGTGAAAAAAATGAATTTTTTACAAACTAAATAACGGCGATTGGCTAAGAAGTGAATTTTGATTAAAATCAAATTGTGATTAGTTTCATTTTTCTCCATTATCCATAATCATAACCAATTAGGATACAAACTGGATCTTTATCATTTTTATTGGTTTTGAGAAATTTCAACCAGACAATCGATCATTTTTTCAAAATAAAATCAAAGAGATTAATTGATAGTTATTCTGTTTGTTATTAGAATTTTTTCTCTTTCAGAAATTCAATAAAGATCGAAATTTTCAAGAAAAACACAGAAAAGAAAAATGCTTGATCAAAATCCTTTCAATGTTGGCTAATCACAATGTACAAAAATAAATACAAAAAAAAACTGAAAATCGATTCAATTCTGAATAAAATCACTTGTTGAATCTAATGGATGATATCCATTCATCTATTTCAATCATCAAAAATAAATCATTTCAATGGCTTTAAGTTTAACATTAACGATTATGATCATCATCATATTTATCCATCCGTATACAAGAGTTTTTACTTGTTTACCCGTTTTTGTATTGCCATATTTATTTCGCATCTATTATGATGATGCCATCATAAAAAATCATATTGGGCCATATAATAATAATGGCTGCTGCAATGCAATGAATTTTATTTTTGAACATGTTTGACCTACAAATGAATCGAATGATGTTTAACTAAAGAGCTGACTGACTTTATCTTCCATAAGCCATATGTTCATTTAGGCATCAGGCTTGTGCACACTCACGCTCCATTATGAAAGGAAAACAAACAAGAGAAAAAAATCCAAAAATGAAAAAAAAACGAATGTGAACCATATGAGAGCCGGCAGCTCATCTTTTGTGTTTCGAAACAATTCGTAAATGTTGCATATGTAACTGACAACAGAGAAAAAACACATAAATATCAATCCTTTGAAAAACGTTTTGGAAAATTGTTTTTCTTTACAAGTTAAAAACGATGTGAAATTTTTAAAATTTTCACATGAAAAAAAGAAATATTTAAATTTCTTTAAAATCCTTACACCTGAACACTGTGATAATAGTGATAAAGACCTCGAAGATCGATTTTTAACTGCTACTTTTATTCAATAAACAACTAGGAAAAAAATGGCTAAACATTTAATGGACAGAACTTTTTTAATCATTATCAAATCAATTCTTTCAATTAGATCAGAGAAATTCGTTCTGGGAGTGAATACTTTGTTTCACATCAGAAATAGTCGATGATTGACAACAATAATGATGATAACTTAACAATATGCAAATTGGCAACATTTTGTTTTCATTGTATTACATCATTGACATTGAAAATTTTCGCATGATTACAACAACAACAACAACGAAAACATTCATACATTTGAAACAACTTCATTTTGATGACTTTTGATGACTGATCGTCGTTTTATTCGTTCCAACAAAATGATCGTTTTTTAAACAGACAAAAAGTTTTTTTTCATTTGTCGAGTTTTGATTATCTTCGATTAAATTCAAGACATTTAGTATCATAACAATATGAAAAATTCTTACATTCAATAGAAAAAAATCTAGTAGAACGTCGAAACCATACTTTTCAATTCGAAAATAATTATAGGATTGATGGAAAAAATCAGGAAAAAACTTTGAATTCATATTCCATCAAAAATAAAAAATAAAATAAAATAAAAATTGAAACAAACAGAAAAAATCATCTGCCCGTATCACACATCATCCATCATCTTAAGGCAGAATATCGAACTAATGATTACTATCAATACTATTATTCAGTTTGTCCTTCTTTTATTAGCTTTAATCAATGGCAAAAAGCATTTTGTTTTTGCACGTGTTTTATCCATTAATTCATTCAATCAGAACATTTTTATATCATACAATATTGTTCTTTATAAATATCAAATAAATTAACAATAATACTAATTGATTATTATTACTGTGGTCTAAAAGTTAGACTCTAAATGATGTTGCGATTGTCGAAGAAAGAGCATCTTTTTTTAAATAATGTGTTTAAAACGATGGGCATTTATAAGTTGTTGTTTGTAATAAAATAATGGACTGTTGTTTAAAAATGGATGCATTCTTGAAAATTTATTAAAAATTAAATTTGTTACTACTGATGTTCATTTTTTTGTTATTGTTGATGATTTGACCATGTATCAAAAATGTTGAACATCAGGAGGCATACACGATCATTGATTCTGTATTTTTTCATCCTGTTTTTGTAACCTTACACAAATCATGATTGTTGACGGAAAAAAATAAAGCCACGAAGGATTTCTAATCTTGAAATCGATACCATCAAATAATGAAAAAGGCCAAAATACGTGTTAAAAAAATAAAATAATGCGCTCGAAATTGTTGAAGATGATTTGTCATTTTATTGAATGAATTCATATAGAATTCATTGTTTTTGATTTTTATTAACAACGGTAACAACAACAATGATATATTTAAAGAAAAACAATAATAATTTTAAAAAGAGAACAAAATAAAAAAATAATAATAACAAAACAATCTGTTAAATGTTCATATTATTCGTAAATTCTGAATGAAAAACGTTCTGTATAAAAAAAATGATTATTATCAAATTTTGACTGCGGCATTGTGTGTGTTTGTTTAATCATTTTGTATAACTTGATTGTAGATGTTTTTTCATTTTCCATTTTGAAACTTGACCCGATTTATCCCGGATAAAGGAATCAACCACCAACAGCACAGACATTGAATGAAGATTTACATTGTAATGTCAATTCGAATGATGTTGAAAATGTTGTCTTCATAATAGAAAAATGAAATCCACCATGAAAATTATAGGATGCTTATGGCACTGCCATGCACTATGAACACATTTTAACTATGTGTGTAAAAAATTGATTGACATCAGGCAGATGAGCTTTCAAGTAGATCGAGACAATCTAATTTAATGTTATATGTTTTTTTTTGAAATTGTGAAAAACAATCGCTGACATTGTGATTGTTCCGGAAACAGAAAATCTCATGTTGTGTAGAAATATCAATTGTTGAGCGAAAATAACAAAAATAAAAAATGATAATAAAAAACTATGAATAAAATTATCAAGTATAAAAAATGAGTCATAATGAAATGTCATATAAATTATAAACAAAATGACAAGATTTACAATCAATTGTGACATGTTAATCCATATATGATGAGAATGAAGAAAAAAAACAATATTATTCTCTATAGTTGTATCCATTCTTAAACAGATGTTTCAAGATTCATTGATGTTGTCGAAATCTTCAAGAAACAATTGGAAATGATCTTCAAATTATGACGATGAAATAAAAAAGAATTATCATCATCATCATCATCATCATCATCATTATTAATTATCATATTTGTCACTTGTTTATCATTATTCGGATAATTATTCAATGTTATAATTGTATTATGATAATTGTTATTATACTGTTTATCATTATTATGATTACAATTTATTTTCTTTGAATAATTTAATTCGATGGGAAATTCAGTAGATTCAATAGTTGCTAATCTGTTTCCATTATAATTATTCTTATTAATGAGATTAATATTGTTTTTTTGAACATTTGTGTGAAATTTTTTCGTTCTTCGATTTATGTGTAATTTTCTTCTGTTACTACGATTATTGGATTTTTGTGTAAAAATATTTTTGGTCATTGTCTTTGTTGTTGGCGATAATGGTGTTAACGATGATGATGATGTTCGTTCATCATCAATACCACCATTAATGATTTCCGATAATAATGAATTAGTCATTTTCATTGCGGGATACATTATTTTTGTTGCTGTTGCTGTTGGAACGCAGCCAACATCAAAATTCAAATCAATCACCGGATTGAATTCAGTATTTGATTCACTCGTTTTGCTGGATTCTGTTTGATTAGAATAATTCGTATTCAAACGTTGCGATAATAGTAGCATTGCATGTTTATGAACAGAATTGTTTTCACTATAAATTTTTATATCATTTGGATTTTGATAATTATCCATAGTTTTTTCAATGGTTTTTGATGAAGATGATGATGATGATGATAATGATAATGTATTGAAAATATTTGGCGATGATTGAGGTTTGTTCGATGGATTATTGAATGATGACGGCGTTGGCGGTAGATTTAATGTATTCCGTATAGTTGCTGAACGCCAATGATAGGAATTTTTTACATTACAATTTGTCAAATAATTAGAATCACGATGATTTAGATATCTTAGATAGCTTTTTGTTATAGCTTTCCGTAGATAAGAACGAAATTTCGGATTGAAGAAAAAATAAAGTATTGGATTTATGCAAGAATTAGCCGCTCCTAACCATTGTGCTAATGGTGTTAATCCAATTATTAGAAGTCCTAATATGATAAAACAATAGATAAGAATGAAATAAATTATCAATAGAGCCAGCATATCATAATCAATTTCTTAGTGTAAAAATAGATCAATATACCTGCGAATGAAGTTTCATCAATTTGGGTGAATTTAAGAAAACAAAAAATTACATATAAGGGTAACCAACTAAGAACGAATACGGAAACGATTGTAATCAACATTTTAAGCACCTTAAGACGTGATTTTTCAACAATACGACTATTCATTTTATCAATACTTGAATCTTTATTCAGGGTATTCGTTTGACCATTACTATTATCAATAATCAATGGTAATTGACGGCGTGAAATTTTTACATATAATAATAGATAGAAAAAGATTGTAATCAATACAGGTAGCAAATATTGTAGACCAAAATTAACGAATATGAAATAAAAATTTGAAATCCATTCTTCCGGCCAAATTTCATGACACATCTAAATAAAAATCGAAACAAAATTGAAAAATAAAATTAGACATAATTAAAATAATGCTGCCATCTATTGTTGGTCAAGCTTAAAACAAGATTCTGGAAAATTTTTGTTTATTTCATAACACTTACCAATTGATCATCAATAGTATGAACATCGAAAAATATTAACCATGGACTGGATATTATTAAACTAAATATCCATATGAAGGCGACAACATATCGACGGACTAAAGGACTGAATCCATTGTTGAAGGGATAATAAATTCCATAAAAACTGACGATCATCGATCGATTATGAATTTTGAAAGATTAAAAAAAGAAAAATCAATTTCATTTTTCGATTTTTATTGATATAAAAATAAATACCGATCAATTGATATGGCAACCAATGAATATATAGATGCAGTGACAGCAACACCCTGAAGAAATGGTACTGCTTTACATACAAAACGTCCAAGAATCCACGCTGATTAAAAATAAAAAATAAAATTTTCAATGAATGGATATGCACAACCAAGTTTTTGATTTGAAAAAAAATCAAGCCAAATACTCTAAAATTTATATTGAATAACACCTACACATACAAAACAAAAAAAAAACAAAATCACTGTCAATGAACAGAGAAAAATAAAGATCTCTTTGTTCTTGTTCATCGGAAATTTTTCAACTTTTCGTGTTCAGCAACATGGATTTATAATGTTTTGTTGTTGTTGTTGTTGTTTATGAATTTGAAATGAAATTCTGTCATGTCAATAATGCTGAAAATAATATCAATGATAATAATGATGATGATATCAGAATAAAAGGATGGAAAATACAAATGTCAAATTTTATTTGTCAACAATTTTTACGAATGCGAAAAACTATTCATTCGTCAAAAAGTGTTTTTATTATTCGAATTCAATGTTATTTTCTTTGTTTGCTAATTTATTTGCCAGAATCAAAATGATGTCAACAACCAATTTACATGAATCAGTTATTTAGAATTAATTCTCTAACCTCGATATGATTTTGTCGTTATTTTCAAATCAGTTATTGAAATGTTTATCGAAAAACAAGAATATACAATATAATTTTATTGAAAATGATCAATTGGATTTCTTAACAGCAACAAAAACTTACTTGTTAATATATTACCAAGAAGATTTGGTAATAAACAAAATAAAATGACCAACAAATCTGCTAATGCCAAATTACAGATGAAATAATTAAATACATTATTATAGCTGGCCATCATCTGATTTGAATTTGGTGTATTATGACGCATCATATTGATCACCCAAAGTACAGCACTATTGCCAACTAATCCCATGATGAATACGATTGAATAAGCAATACAAAGAACAATAGTCCAAATCAATGGATAACGCCATTGTGATTCTGTGGCCTGATTTTGATTATGATTGTATATAAATGATGATGACATTATTTCAACAATCGATGATGTTGTTGTTAAAGATGATGAAGCCATTGCAATAACCAATTTGATTCGGATCAATATTTTTTGCCGGATATTCAATGTATTAGGTTATATTTCCTTCAACTAACTGTGGCGACCTTTGAAATAAATCATCAACGGTCATTGACATGATGATTCCATTTTTTTGAATGACATTCAATTTTCGCCAAACATTTCGGTATTTTTTTCCGAAGTGGCATTATAAAACATGAAATCCGATTCGAAATTCTGCAAAATGAATGGAATAAAATTCAACAATAATAAGTATTGATTAGTATTCAAATCATTAATGAAATTATTACTATCAATCATTAATTAGCCTGTAGCAAATAAAAATCAAAAATTCATTTTTGTTGGTTTTATTTTCATTGGTTTTATTTTCATTGGTTTTATATTTTGTTATTTTCTATAGTGAATACAATTTTTATAATATTACATTGAACTAATGATTTAATAATGATGGACAAATAATGTCGGTCATCAATAATGATTTCATGTATAAATGTAATGATGGAAAAATTAATAAAAACATTGTCATATATTAATTGAAAGAAGAAAAAAATTATCTAAATATTTTTTTTCTTTCATTTCGGTTTTTGAACCTTTTCGATGAAGAAATTCCAAGCTTAAAAGGTTACATAACATAATTATGCAAAAATGTTTGAACAAATACATTTACATAAAAACAATTATCAGCAGCACATTTTTTCCAAATTAGCTAAAAATGTTCGAAATATTTCAAATATATATGATGACGCATGAAACAAAATTCATTCATTGTTATGCAGAACAGAATATATTCTGTATTGTGGATTTTGTATCAATATTTTTTTTGTGTTTAATAAAAGATGTTTATAATGAATGAAACAAAGGGAATTTTCAGGGGTCTATATAAATTGATTATTACATAATGTACACAATGAAAATTATAGATATATGAAAACTCTAATGATGAAAAGAATCAATCATCAATAAATCAATAGAATTTTTCTTTTAATATTCTTTGCTGCTTGGACATTGGTACGAATTTTTTTTCACTATTCACAATAGAAAAACACCCTAATATTATTATGATTATGATGAATTGAATGGCAAAAAAAAATGTTCTTTTTTCCTACATGAACATCAATGATTTTTCTCGATTTGATATCATTTATTTTTGTTTTTTATATTTCATTCATCATTGATTGTTGATACGATGAAAACAACAACAACAACAATAACAAAAAGAAAAAAAACAGAATTTCTTAGAAAAAATACGATACGGTGTCAATGGCATAGAATTGTTACATTTAGTATCTTCTTACACGACTGACACATAAACCAATATTTGTTTTGTTTTTTTGCCCTCTATTTTTTGTTGTTGTTGTTGTTGATTGATGTTTTTATTTATTATGTGAAAATGAAATTCTGATGAAAATAAAACGACCGATAGAAAATCTAATCATAATAATGATTATTACAGTCAATATAGTGACTGATACTATTTATATTATCCTTGACTATGTGTAAATAGTGAACGTGATGAAGAAGAGAAAAATTCCACATTCCTAATGCTTGAAATGGAACGAAGGAAAAAAATTCACATGAAATGTTTTTTTTTGGTTTGTTGTTGAAAGATTTTATTAGCTAATGAAGATGTGTTTATTCACTTTGTTTTGTTTGTTTATTTTTGTTTCCGTTTTATTTTCTGAATACAAATGCATTGAATGCCGATGGCTAAAATAATATTGAATTGAAAATAAAACTTTATACAAAAAAAACGAAAGAAAAGAATAGGAAAAACAACAAAATAATATCGATATCAACTAAACAACTTCATGATGGTAAATAATAGACAAAAATCTTCATCTTTTACACAGATCTATCAGAAAAAATACATGCACACATTGAACTATGAGGAAAAAAGAAATTTCAGGTAAACAAATAAATAAACAAATTAAACAATGATGAAACAATTATTCTGTTCTGTTCTTCATTTAAAACCATTGTGTCATTGAATCCAAAATAAATAAATCATATCAAGTCATGCAATGTAGGATTTTAAATGGAATTATCATTAGGAAATGTTGTCGTTGGTAAACAAAATTTGGAGATTTTTTTTATTTGTTTTGTACAAATTTTGAAGTTCGTTAACACTTTCGTCATAATTCAATTCGACTAAAATCCTTAATGATTGATGATGATGACAATGGGCAATTTCTAAATTGAATACAAAATAAAAAATGATGAAAAAAATAAACAATTCCTAGTGCATCTATTTTCTCTCTATGCGATAGTGAGATTGAAAAAGGCAGTAGAATTTATAAACAAAATTAAATTCCAAAGAATTTAGTTTATCAAATGCCGCTGTCCATGATAATGATGTGATCATTCATCCATAAATTCTTGTCATTCTTAAATTGATATAGATGCGAAAAAAATAAAAAATAGTTATTTTATTTTATTTTTTCAAACTAAGATAAAACAAAAAGGAAAACATTTTTAGAATAGACTGATAGCATTAGTTAATTTTGCTTCTAGCGTAATTTTATATGATACAATAATATGTCGTAAACGATTGTCAAATATTGTTTGCGGATATTCATTGAAACATTGTAAATTTAAATTAATTCTATAAACATGGTGATTAATTTTTCATTCCAATTTTTTTATGTTAGCATAGATTAGATAAGATTCTATGCCCGACTTTTTCAGTTTTGTTGAATTTTTTTTTTCTCAAATTTCTTTCGGTTTTGTATTCATTTTTAAATTCTGGAATTATTTCTTTTGAACAGAGACTACGATATAAAATTAACTTTTGATTTGATCAAAAAATGTTTCATTTAATTTATGATTCGAATACAAAAATTTGAAAACGACACTGCAACAAAAAAATCAAAATTTAGTTTTATTTTAGCCATTCTGTATTAGTTGAGGAGAATTCAATAATTTTTTCTGATTAAATATGATGATGAAAATCTTCTTAATCTTGGGAATATTTTTACAAAAAAAAAATTCGCAAAGAAAACAAAAAAAAAGATTTTTGTTCGCCTCTCATTTTTGATCAAATAGCTTTGCGATGAACAATAAACATAATCACGTCTCTGTTTTTGATATTTTTTTTTTGTTTCTCTATTTATTTTTCCAAATATTCACAGGCATTGATAGATTATGGATTAGATTGGATTTTTTTNGATAGTGAGATTGAAAAAGGCAGTAGAATTTATAAACAAAATTAAATTCCAAAGAATTTAGTTTATCAAATGCCGCTGTCCATGATAATGATGTGATCATTCATCCATAAATTCTTGTCATTCTTAAATTGATATAGATGCGAAAAAATAGAAAATAGTTATTTTATTTTATTTTTTTCAAACTAAGATAAAACAAAAAGGAAAAATTTTTAGAATAGACTGATATCAAGAAGCATTAGTTAATTTTGCTTCTAGCGCAATTTTATATGATACAATAATATGTCGCAAACGATTGTCAAATATTGTTTGCGGATATACAATGAAACATTGTAAATTTAAATTAATTCTAATAAACATGGTGAATAATTTTCAATTTCAATTTTTTATGTTAACATAGATTAGATTCTATGCCCGACTTTTTCAGTTTTGTTGAATTTTTAAATTCTGGAATTATTACTTTTGAACATAAACTACGATATAAAATTAACTTTTGATTTAATCAAAAAAATGTTTCATTTAATTTATCATTCGAATACAAAAGTTTGAAAACGACACTGCAACAAAAAAAATCAAAATTTATTTTTATTTTAGCCATTCGGTTGAGGAGAATTCAATAATTTTTTCTGATTGAATATTATGATGAAAATCTTCTTAATCTTGGGAATATTTTTACAAAAAAAAAAATTCGCAAAGGAAACAAAAAAAAAGATTTTCGTTCGCCTCTCATTTTTGATCAAATAGCTTTGCGATGAACAATAAACATAATCACGTCTCTGTTTTTGATATTATTATTTTTTTGTTTCTCTATTTATTTTTCCAAATATTCACAGGCATTGATAGATTATGGATTAGATTGGATTTTTTTTTCTATATTCTCTATTGAAGTCCCGTTTTTTTTCACTCTTCAATGCATCTTACTCATTTCTAGTTTCAATCATTCTATTTCAGATTATATTGTCTACAATGAATATAACAGTTGGCGAACATTTATAACCAAAGAATTATAACAATACACATACAAAAAAGAACAACAACGATGAAGAAAAACAAATGGAAAACAAAATTGAATTTTTTGATATTTACTTTACCAGAAAAAAAGTTTTTTTTCATCAAAGATAGATTCTGACAGAAATGAAATTGAAGTTTTCATACGACGAACAGCAACACACACACACACGCACTAATAACTTCGATATGATAAAACCAAACACATATGTTGTAATAGACTTATTTCCGTTGAAATTATCACTTTAAATAAATAGAATAAATACAAAAAAACAAATGATAAAATGATTCAAACAATATCATTGAAACACAAAGTTTCAAAATGTTAAATTTTTTTCAACACACAAATAATATGATTGTTGTTGTTTTGTTGATCAACAAACATTCGATTTTGTGAATTGTGAATTCCAGCATATTTTTTTCTTGGTTTTGTTTGAATCAACATTGAAATATCGATTTGTTCATTTTGTTGTGTCATAGATGTCGTGTCAATTATAAAAGAATATCTGAACATCTCATTCAATTTATTTTTCATATTTTATTCTGATCATAATCAACAAAATTTGAACATCCAATTGAATTTTTGTTGTTATTTGCAGATAGATTAGATTCAAATTCAATTCAAAGTCGATTATGCTAGTATTACATGTCAAAAACAGCAATTTCCATGTTACATATGAAGAAATGAACTAAAATGATGATTAAATGATTGATTTTTTTTAAATTCATGAATAAATTTTTCATTTTTGTTGAAATTATTTGTCAGAAATTTAAATAAAATTTGTTGTTGGTAAAAAAAGTTGTTTTTTGATTGAATTAAATAAATGGATCTTCATACAAACATAAAATGAATTGGCCAGAAATAATAGAATGACGAAAAATTTGTTTGTGATTTGAAGTTTCAGAGAAAAAAACTAGATTACTACTTTTCAAAAAGCGCAAAATCGTAGTTAACTAGAATTTCATTCATGAAATCGGTTCGGCGCACATCTTAAAATTCATCATCATCATCAATGCACAAAATCGATCGAATAAATTGACTGTTTGTCCAACCAAAACAATAGATATTTTATCATTTCATATTTATTCGGGATTCCATGCATAAAAAAACGAATCATATTGATTTATCAATAATGATAATTTTGACAAGTTGATAGAGAAATTGGGAAAAAGGGGAAAAATATACATTTATTTCGATTGCTGAATGGATTGACACTATAGTAAGAGTTGTCAATCACAAATTTCAAAAAAAAAAATCAATTTGTAAAATTTTATCTACTGTCACAAACTATTCTCGTCGTTAAAAACAAACAAAGTTTTGATATATCTTTTCTTTATATGAAATAGCTACATCTTTTATTTGAAATTGTATTGAAAATACAAAAATGAAAAAAAAAATTGTTGAAAGAAAAGACACAAACAAACTAATTTATCGTAAATTCTTCAACATTATTAAATAAATAAAATAAGAAATAATTATTTTGTTTCATTATCAATTTAGAAAATTGTTTTAAAAAAAACAAATTGAATAAAATTAGGTATGCTATGTAAATAATGCAATTATCGTTATTGTATTATATATTGACCAACAAAAAGAAATGCTCAGAATTGGAATAAAGAACGTTACATTTTGTTCCTTTTTCTATGTTTCAATTCAATTCTATAATATGGTGACGAATCTGAATTCAAAAGTTATTTCTGTATAAATCTTGTTTGTCAGCGCAAAAGTAAAAAGAAAAGAACCAAGTAAATTATATTACCAATTGGAAAAAACATGAAATACACACACACAGACAAATCTACATGCTAAAAAAAATTTTATGTGGGAATTCTGTAATTTTGATGTATCTAATATCTTTTCGATTTTTTTTTCTTGACATATTTTTTGTCCAATAAATTCTCCTACATTATTGATTGCTCCATACAAATCAATACTATATGTTTATTGAAAAAAATTCAATCAATTTGATTACCATTGTTCCAAATAGCCACTTCATCATCTCATCTAGAAAAGAAATCAAATCCTTAGCTCATTTTAGCTACAATTTTTGTTTGTTTGTAATATATGATTTCAGTATTTTCTTTTTTTATTTATTTATTTACTTAATCGAATTTTTTTTTCTTATCATAAGGTGTCTATGTACATAAAAATTATTAGGACAACCTTATGATTCTAAATTGGGTTATTAAAATCAACAATATTATTGATTCTTTAAGAAAAACTTTTCATTTATACTGGTTTACACTCGTTTTTCTATGATTAAAATAAATATTCTCGGTGTGTTAAGCTCCGATTAAATCATATTCAAATTTCAATGACCATCAATTTATAAATAGAATAGAGAAAATTATCATGTGAAAATTGATTACAAACATTCTTTGACTTTAAGAGCAAATCAACATTACGAAAAAAGTTATCTGTAATGTTGATTTGTTCGAATTTTTGTTTTTGTTTTTAGCGCAAATTTTTATTCTTATTTTGAACAAAGGTTGAATTTTTCACATTTGTGCTCGAAGCTTACCGTCAATAAGGAGTGTAATAAATAAATTCTCTTGTTAATTGAAAAATGATTTTTGTTTTGATTTTTTTTTATCAGAAAAATTGATTTATTGTACATTGACAACCAACAATATCATGGCTATTTGGAAATGTATCATGAATACACTAATCTTCAACTGAATATAAACATAAGTTAACTACGACGATTTGTTACTAACAAAAGACAGTCATCGTTATCTATCATACGCACAGACTTGTTGTGGTTGATTTTTTTATGGCCACTATCGTCAAACAATTTATCACAGTATCAGTTTTTTTCCTAATTTTCTTTTGCTTGGTGAAATATTAGCATAAAACGTTATGGAGGTCATTCGTTTTTCAATATCATCAAATCCATATGTTGCCCCAATATATTGTAATCTAACTTTGCGAAAGTAATCGAATTGATAATTGAATCAAGGCATGAAAATACCCTTCGAAATTGAAACAAAATAAAAATTATTCCATTTTTGAGTAGCAACAAGCATTAAACGGTTTTTTTTGTTTATTTATGAAAACAAATAAATTTCAAATTGAAATTGCATAATCATGTGACATTAAGCTATCATTATAATTCTTTCTTCATTTTTTTAAAATTGAGAAATTAAAAAAGGGAAAGTATTGTCAACGAAAATTAAAATTTTTTTATTAAAAATTATTATTGAAAATTGTTTTCTAAAAATGGTAGACAAGATGCTAGTTATCCTACTGTATGTCTGAAAAACAATTTGATGTCAATAATGTTTATTATTCAGAATTATCATAAATTTCCTTCATTGAAAAAAATTGTTTTTGTCTTAATGATGATAATTTGTTTTTTTCAATTTTAATCATTTAATGATGATTCGATCAATCAATAATTTGATTCGCAATTACACGTACATTTTTTGTAGTAATGAACTTAACAACAAGATTCATAAATTAAGACAAAGTCCAGTCGGAAATTTTATTTGATAATCAACTATCAAATCGATTGATAAATGAAAAGATTTTGTGCATGTGTATTTACTAATACGAATGAAATTGATTGATTAATTGATCCAATTTTTTTCTTGTTTTGTTTATTCATTTTCAATTTTCAAATTCTATTTTTATTATTATTGTTGACAATTGGTCTATATTTTTTCTTAAATATCAACAATTGAATCAGTGTTTATCAGCTAAAAAATCATTATAAAAACTCTTGAATGAAAAAAATGATATATGCTTTTCGGTTTTATTTTTATTCTTTATTATTCATTTATTAATCAACTTGAAATTTGTATGAATGTAACGAATGAATAAAAATGTATAGATCATTTATTTTGATTTCATTCGTTACCAATCTTATCTTGATTTCATATATTGAATGTCAAAATAAAGGTATTCTTTGTTTGTTTTAATTATTATTTACAGTGAGGTAAGATTCCATTTTTTCATTATTATACAATCATAGATCAAGTATGTTATGGTGAATTTGGATGTTTTAAAAAGGCTCAATTGAGCAGAAATATTCAAACGGCAAACCTATTAGGTCATTTTCCTGATTCGCCCGAAAGAATTAATGTTGGATTTCATTTGTTTTCATGTCGTGATCGTTATAATCCAACTATTCTACCATATAACGCAACTGAAAGAGATTTACAACGAATAAATTATGATCCAAAAAAGCGTACAATCTTTGTAATACATGGTTTCTTAGATAATTATGATCAATTCAATTGGATGGGTGATGTAAAAGATCATATTCTGCGATTACAGCCTTGTACAATGAATGTTATTGTTGTCGATTGGCGTGGTGGCACTCATCAGATAAACTATTTACAGGCAGCATCAAATACTAGATTGGTTGGGGCTATAATTGCATCATTTATAGAAAAATTAAACAATGTATTTAGAACAACTAACGATCATTATACAATTATGGGACATAGTTTAGGTGGACAAATCTGTGGTTTTGCTGGCAAACGTTTACGGCAACCAAAAGTTCGATTGATTTTGAGCTTAGATCCTGCTGGTCCAGCATTCAATGATGTTAACGAACAGAACCGATTAAATCCAGATGATGCACAATTAGTTGTTTCTATTCATACGAATGGCGGTGTCAATGTTGCCGATGGTTTTGGTATACTCAAACCGTCTGGTCATTATAGTTTTTTTCCCAATGGTGGTGAAACTCAGCCTGGTTGTAGTGCCCTCCATGGTATTGCTGCTCCATTGCTAAAAGGAATATATGAAGGAATACAGGAGACAGCAGCTTGTTCGCATCTTTTTGTCTATAAATTAATCGAATATGATGAAATAAGAGATGATGATTTTGAATCGATGGCTTATCGATGTGAAAACTATAAAGCATACGAAGCTGGTCGTTGTGGTACTTGTCGAGATGATTCAGATGATTGTAAACCATTTGGCCGATGGTATGATTGGTGGCAAGAACAAAAACCATCAAGAGAATGGCGAGAACCGATTATCTATTATATCGATACAAAGAGAGAAGAACCTTATTCATATTTTTTCTATCAGATTAAGGTGTGATTCAAATATTTAGATAATTCTTTGAGTGTTTCTAAACAGAATTATTAATTTTTTAAAATTAGGTTCGAACCGGTAATGATTTCGCTCCTCTTGATGGTCGATTATTCATGAACATAACTGGTAGTTTACGATCTGATTTCAGCGAAAAAATTATCATGGATAGAAAATTTGAACCTAACAAAGAATATACGTATTTACATAAATCGAAAAAATCTATTGGCCGTGTTGAAGCAGTACATGCAACATTGACAGATAAGGTGTTGCCAAATAAAGCTGCAATAGCCGTTTCCAAAATTGTTACTGCAATTCCTGGCATAGGCAGTGGATCTAGAAACGATCGAATCACTGTTGAAGAGATTCAATTCAACTATATGAATGGTTACACTGAAAGGTATGTTGTATTAATGTGTCGATTAATTTTTTGATTTCTAAATGAAAAAATTCAAAAGCCAACGACGTTCAATGTCAACAGTGTTGAGAAATCAAAATGGACCTATAGAGATCACAGGCAAGGATATCACACATTTTACTGGATCCAGATCCAATGACAGAAATCGAAACGGTTCTAATTCCAATCGCGAGAATTCGAACCAAAACCGAGATAGGAATCGAGATAGAAATGTCCCAAATCGAGATAGAGACATCTCAAATCAAAACCGAGATGATGACAGGAATCAGGATAGAAATATTCCGAATCGAGATCGAGACAACTCAAATCGAAACCGAGATAATAACAGGGATCGGGATAGAAATATTCCAAATCGAGATCGAGACATTTCAAATCAAAACCGAGATAATATCCCGAATCGTGATCGAGACAACTTGAATCGAAACCGGGATGATAACAGGAATCGGGATAGAGATATTATAAATCGTGATCAAGACCGAGACAGCTCAAATCGAAACCGAGATAATATCCCGAATCAAAATCAAAACATCAATAGAAACATATGACAATGAATAAATGAAGATTTATGATATTGATATTGTTCAAGGAAAAGTAGATTGTAAAACTTTCCTATTTACCATGAATTAATTGAATAAACATAAACTACTTGTTATTTACCAAATAAAACAGATTAAATATGATTTTTTTTTTCAATCTATTGGTATCATCACAAATTTCTTGACTATTACATTGCAATCCTTGTTGTTATTTTCATTACATTTTGTTTGAATTAATTTGAATAAAATTACCGATTGAAGGATAATTTGTACGTCATTAATGTCAAGACGCTCGAAATGATAATGAATCTTAACCATGAATTTGATTTCATCATTTGTACTCATTGCTTCTTGATGAACCAAAATGTAAACAAACAAGCAAACAGGTAGTTTTTCTCTTTATTTCGAAGTAATACTTTTGGTGGATAAAAAAAAGGGTAATTACGATACGATAAGATTAATTTGAAAAGAAAACAAAGAATCCTATCGATCATAAACGATAATAAAAATAAGGAAACAAAACCTGAATTTACAGGGCAATCAACTTAAAAAAAATTTTTTTAATTTCCATATATTAAACCTGAAAATATGTACTTGGAATAAGAATAACAAAAATCATTTCTAGTCGACCAACAACATGTACGAACAAAAACAAAAAACGAAAAAAAAACGAACATTTATTTCCGATTCAAGGCGGAGTCTAATGAAGGCAAAAGATGATATATATTTTCCATGGATATTTCAACACGGTTATAAAACCTCTAACCTTGCCATAGTGGTATATAATAACAACACAAGCACGCACGCACACATTCTAATGTCAAAGCGATGGATAATTTAAAATTTAAATAATTTGATAACACACACATACAAACAATTAATATGGAAAATAGATAGAAACAAAAAAAAACAACAAACAAAAAAAATAGCAACAACAAAAATCACGACGGTATTATAAAAATGGATGATCAGAAAGGAAAAATTTTTATTTTTCAAATATTATTGTTTTTTTTTCAACTAAAAATATTGTTTTTTTTTCTGGTGTTTGATAAACAACAACAACACAGTGTGTTTAGATCATGTCCTGCAGAATAATGGCGCTTGATCAAATTGATAATCATCATCATGAACTAAATGATAATATTCAAATCGATAATCAAAAACAACATTCATCATCTAGATCAATTGATCAACCGGTATCATTGTTGTGGAAAAATCTTCGATATGAGGTTGATGAATGGAATTTGGAAAGTGATTGTAGCTGGCGACCAATTAAAAATCGTAAAGTTATCTTGAGACGTTTGAATGGTTTTGTTCGTCATCATAGTATGAATGCTTTACTTGGTCCTTCAGGTGCAGGAAAAACATCATTAATTAAATGTCTCACTGGAAATGTTTCCACTCAAAACATATCTTCAGATTCGGGAATCTATTTGAATAGGATGATATTACCGGGAAATAGTCGTGTACCATTAGTTAGTTTTGTTCCTCAATCTGTTCATGAAATTATATTTGGTCGATTCACTGTTGAAGAAATTCTTTATTATGCGTTTCGTTTTAAAAATCTATACGAAAATCGTCATAAAGCTGCAGCTCATATCAAATCCACTGTAGAAGAATTAATGCTCGAGCCAAAAGTGTTACGCACACCATTCATTCAATGTTCCGGTGGTCAACAACGTCGTGTGGCCATCGCACAAGAACTTATGGCCTATGAATCTAAACCACCTTTTTTATTTGTGGACGAACCAACTACTGGCTTAGATAGCGAAGCTGCATTAGTCGTTATGGAATGCCTTCGAAAATTAGCCGATCATAATCCAATAACCATTATTGTTTCAATACATGCACCTAGTTCAGAAATCTTAAGTTTATTCGATAATCTTTATATATTGGCCAAAGGTGGAGTTTGTATCTTTTCTGGTCCACCGAATGAAATGTCGATCCGTTTAGAATGTGTACAAAAACATCAAATAGCCGATGATCGATCTCCGATCGAAGAATATCTAAGAATTGCGAATAATGGTAAGTGTATCATCAATATTTTTTCTGTTGAAAAATATTTATGAAAAGCATTTTTTTTTTGTTCAAGGTATTGATGATAAATTGGTTCGTGATTTAGCTGATAATGCTTTGAAAAAAGAAGCAAGCAGGTTTAAATCGGAAGAAAACTTCAATGATCAACATTATCAATTGAATCCAAATGGAATCACACGTCACCCTAAATTATTTTCTTTCGACGATCTATTCATTCAATTGCAACGATTATTTCGGTTGATTTTTATTGCTGATATCCGATATTTTCTTTGTTATTTATTACTACATGCCATTGGTGTTGGTTTTATCTGTTTTACCAGTTATGAAGACATGATTAAATCACGTGGATGTCATATTATTTCGATGGAGCACTTTAATTATAGTTGTGATGAAAAATTAAAAGAATCATTGATTGATGGATCATATATGATTTATCAGCTTGCAATGGTCATTGTAATGACATTAGTTTCAATTGGTTTAAGTTCCATATTGGTTGTTCAATTGAGTTCAGTATTTTGCAATGAACATAAAAATGGTATGTACTGTATTGTTTACGAAATATTTATTTAATGAATTTATCGCATTTTATTAGGATGGTATAGTTTGGGTGCATTTTTTTGGGCCTTCCAAGTTATTCATCTAATTGAATTGACTTTATTCGCTCTTAATCAGACATTTCTCGGCTATACACTATCAGAATATTATGTACTAGATGACTACATGATTAATTGGAATCGATTAGCACATCAAATTTTATTCGTATGGCTATTGACAGTGTTAATGCAATCATATGCACAAGTATGGGGTATTATTTATGCAAAGAATGTTCAATTGATGGCCACAGCATTGACAATTTTATTCGTGCTGATAACTATGCTCAGTGGTTTATATTCATCATTGGAAATAATGAATCGGCCAATTTTGGTAATCATTGCACAGATTCTCGGATATCGATCAATCATTGATGGTCTTTATTATACATTCTATGGCATTGATCGTTGTAATGTTGATAATGAAGAATCGTTACAATTGAAAAAATTATTTGTCAACCCAGACTTGATTTACTGGAATTTATTGCCAACGGTCGTCAATTGCATCATATTACGCTCCATCACCTATGTTGTTATGTATTATAAGTATAAATTTCCAAAAAACAAAATTCATAAGAAAATCAGCAAATATACTTCCACATTTTTGTCGGAATTCATTTCAATCGATTATGATGACACAACCAGCATAGAAGTTAATTCAATCGACAATGTAAATGAAGATTCTGTTTGTGTTGATAAACCGAATAGCTTTTTAAAACAACGCTATATAATTGGTTGGAGAAATTTAAGTCTATTTGAATCCAGTTCTATCTACGAAATTCGTGAACATCCAAAATCATTACATTCACAATTACCATCTGAACGATTAATATTACGGAACCTCAATGGACAAATTCGTTTTGGTAGTTTGAATGCATTGATGGGACCATCCGGTTCCGGTAAGACGACATTATTGAAAGTATTGAATGGTCGTAAAAAAATTCGCATACCAAAATCAACAATGTTTTATCTAAGTAAATTTCAACCATTACGTACATGTTTTGTTTCACAAGAAGTATCCAATCATTTGATGCCGGGACTTACAACAATGCAAAGTCTGATTTATGCTTCAAAATTAAAAAATTGTCATGAGAAACAAAAAATAGATCACAATAAGCTTGCCTGGAATCTGTTGAAAGAATTAAACATGACCGATGCAGCCGCTACATTGGTACAGAAATGTTCAGGTGGCCAACGAAAACGTATTGCACTTGCATTAGAATTAACTTCATTACGAATGCCAAATTTAATCTGCATCGATGAACCAACTAGTGGTTTGGATTCAAATTCAGCTCATTTAGTCATTGAATGTCTTAAACAATTCGTTCATAGACATCAAGATATTGCAATCGTGGCTAGTATACATCAACCAAATACCGATCAATTAATGATGTTCGATCAATGTTATGTTCTTGCTTGCGATGGCATTTGCATATTTTCTGGGCCACCAAATAAAATCAAAAATTTTTTGGAAGAAATACCCGATTCATCATTTTATAAATGTTTTCCTATAGAAACATTGATCAAATATTCTTGTACTGGTTATACTAATCCAATCGTACAACGATTAGTGACTCAAACTGAACGAAAAATCAAACAAACAGATAAAGAATTATTAATCGATACTATTGCTATTCCAGAAGGTGTACAATATAATCACACAAGATTTTCATTGCGGTCTATTGCCTTATTATGTCAACGTTACTGCTTATATACAATCCGTCATCAATGGAAAGAATGGCTCACATTTCTATTCGTATATTTTTTGACTAGCATATTAACCGTAAATGTTTTTGACAAATCCATAGCTGAACCAAGTGGTTGTATAAATGTTGAAGAAGATTTTCAATCCTACTGTACGAATAAATCCGAAGCCAAAATACTCGAAGAGATTCAAATAGTCAACAATATCAACTTTATATTAATCCCTGTTGCGGTAATTGGTTTCGTTATTTCAATGCAATCAATGTTTGCATTCGGAAATGAATTGAAGTATTTTGCCAGCGAGCATCGTAATGGTATGTTTGTTTGATTATTATTATTAATCTGAATCGGATTTATTCCTTCATAATTTTTTTTATTTTTTCCCTATCTTATCTACACATTCATACAAAAAATGGAATCTCTAGGCTGGTATAGTAGTGGCGCCTTTTATACGATGAAATTTATTTTTGAAACCATTCCGTTAATTCCAATCATGATGATGTACATATATATTATTGATCTCAATGCCGATAATTCACCCACAGGATCTTATTATTGGAAAGTTTTCGTATTATTTTTAGGTGGAATTATATTTCATGCCGTTAGTCATATAGTCGTATTATTAACCAATGGTCTTTTCATTCCATTGATGATCTGTCTATTCTTTTCCATCGCCATTTTTGTAATGACATCGAATTTTTTCAATCCAGTAATACGAATGCCATTGATAGCAAAAATTTTGGCCACATTTTCGCCCATACATTATTTAAATGATGCAAATTTTTATCTTGTTTTTGGTGGTGAACGATGTCAATCATATGAGATACAATCAATATTGGAATTATTAATGATACCAAATACGAGCGAAACATTCTATAAGGCCATAATAATGTTAATCATTTTGGTTATTATTTATCATGTCACAGCATTATTATTATTGATCATAAAATTTAATCCATTAATTAATCGTCGTGAACGGGTCACACAGATTGAAAAATATCAGATAAAATGGGATGTTGAAAGAAAATTGTGAATTAACATTTTATAACAACTATATTTTGACTTATTTTTTTTTGTCCCTCACTTAAAAATATTTTTTGAATTATTGATAACTGCCTGTACAATGATTGAATTGTTTTGATAAAATAAAATCTATCCTTGATTATTATTAAACAAAAACTTCCTTCTTGGAAATGCTAACATTTTATAGAGAAAATTTTCATATACTTATCAAATTTTCATAGTTTTTCTATATTCGTTTATCACTCATCATTACTGTTATTCGATTGATTCGACAATGGAGAATGCACCCGAAGAAGAAACAATGATAAAAAAATGAAATTCAATATGATAATTGTTGAAAAAATATGAAATTGTTTAATATTGTAAACGACCTTGGCATTCAAGAATGAGTGAATATAAAAATCTTTGATTTTTAATGCACAACATTTAACGCCAAAAATTTTTTGAGTGTGTTTACATGACATTTTGAAAAGCGTTATGAAAACTTCAAGAAATATGGATCTATTGACCTTTTTCTTTTTCGTTTTAATCATCAAATCATGTTCGATATATGCCACAGTACCTGCAGATACAGGTAGTATTCTAAAATAATTTATTTTGTGTTTGTGGTTTGCAATAGATAATGAATTCACTGAATTACGCAAACTCACAGGACCCGTCTGCTTTGATGAATATGGTTGCTTTAATAAATCCGAAATTCATAAAGATTGGCCGACAAAAAGCCAGATTGGACATTATCCAGAATCACCAGAAAAACAAAATATAACTTTCAACATATTCTCCTGTCGTGATAGGTATAATCCAACGGTATTGCGATATAATGTCAATGAAAATGAAATGAGAAACCTTAACTATGATCCAAGAAATCGGACACTTGTCGTAATTCATGGTTATACTGATTTTTACAACCAATTTAATTGGATGGGCAATCTAAAAGACCATGTACTGAGGCGAAAATCTTGTGATTTAAATGTAATAACAGTCGATTGGAGTCGTGGATCAAAAACATCTCCAAACTATTTACAAGCAGCGGCTAATGTACGAGTAGTTGGTGCAGTGGTTGCATCATTTATCGGTCGATTAAATAAAGTTTACCAGACAACTAATGATCATTTTACAATTATGGGCCATAGTTTAGGAGCACAAGCTGCCGGTTTTACTGGGAAACGTTTACGAAAACCAAAAGCACGATTAATTATAGGTCTTGATCCAGCTGGTCCGGCATTCAGCGACGTAAGCGAAGAAAATCGTTTGAATCCAAATGATGGACAATTAGTGATTTCCGTCCATACAAATGGAGGAGTTAATGTTTTAGATGGATTAGGCATATTGACACCTGTTGGACATTATAGCTTTGTACCAAATGGTGGTGAAAATCAACCTGGTTGTGAACCCGTTCATGGTATACCAGGGGTTTTAATAAATGGTCTTGGCGAAGGTTTATCAGATGCCATTGCATGTTCGCACAGACGGGCTTATCTATTGATGGCATATGACGAACAAATGTTTGATGATTTTGAAACCAATGCCTATCGTTGCAATAATTATACAGATTATGAGGCTGGTAAATGTGGTACATGTCTTGATGGTTCGGATGATTGTCAACCATTTGGACAATGGTATGATTATTGGCAAAAACAAAAACCATCGCGAAAATGGACATCACCGATTGTTTATTATGTAGACACAAGAACGGAAATGCCATACTCATATTTTTTCTATCAGATTAAAGTAAGTATCGCCAATTTTTCTGAAATTTTAAAAAAGATTTTACTTGAAATAGGTAAAAACGGGAAATAATTTTAATAAATATGATGGACGTTTGGCAATGAACATAACTGGTTCTTTACGAAACGATTTTGTTGAAAAAATAAACATGGAATATAATTTCAAACCGAATAAAGAATATACCTATTTACATAAATCTTTCAAATCATTAGGACGAATAGTAAAAGTTGATGCTCAACTCCAAGACAAGTCTGAGCAAAAATCTGGCATCAAAAAATTGATTGGAAATTCCATTGGAAAACGAAAAGAACAAAACATTGTAATCGATGAGATACAAATTAATTATATGAACGGATATACGGAAAGGTAAAAGTTGTTTTCGATTGAAAATTTTTTTTATAATGATAAAAATAATACAAATAGCAAACGTCGACAATTATCCACAATTATGAGAAATTCAAATACAATTATCACAACAAAGGAAACCGTTACGTTTCACCCTTCCACGAATGGCAATAATAATGGCAACAATAATAGTCAGGATGCTAGTCCACAACGACCAACCAATGAATCAAATGGCACCAAAAACAAAAATCCTAACAACAGATCCAGTGAGAATATAACAAATCGCAATTGATCAGGGCGTATCATAACGTAGAATTTAGTTTTAAATTTCAAAAGATTATGGTATTTAATTAGTTATTTAACAAAAAAAAAATGAAAATGTATTTAAAATGTTTTCAAACATCATTCAACCATGAATATTGTTGGCAATGTAGAACACAATTTCATTTGAAAAAGATAATTATAAATAAATACAGGCATATAATTCGTGTGATTTTCAAAAGGTTATTTTTATGATTAAATTAAACTATAACTATTTTGTCCAAAAAGCGATATGATTTCATTATAATTTTGGTTGATTTATATTAAAGATCATTATTTTTCTTTTCTATCCAATTTGTAAAATATTGTTGAACAATTGGCAATGAAAATGTACATTTTTTTATTGTTCTTTTTGTCATCCATATTGTTGGCCAGCGGATTCAATTTATTTTCTGTTTTAGGAAGTTTGCCGATAGATAAAGGTAGTGATAATGAACATTATGACAATTTTTAATCCATTATAAAATTAATCCGACAAATAGGGCAAGTTTGCTATGAAAATTTTGGATGCTACGATAAATCCGAAATAAGTAGTGAATGGCCAATAACAAAAAAATTGAGCTTTTATCCAGAATCACCCGAAAAGCAAAATGTTACATTCTATGTATTTTCCTGCCGAGATCGATTCAATCCGACAATAATAAATTATAATGTGACTGAAGATAATTTAAAAAAAATGAATTATAATCCAAAGAATCGGACAATATTCATTGTACATGGATTCACTGATTATTATGAGCAAGTCAATTGGATGGGTAATATTAAGGATTACATATTATCGATGAAACCTTGTCTTTTAAATGTTATCATTGTGGATTGGCGGGGTGGTTCGATTGTTAGAAATTATTTACAAGCTGTCGCTAACACACGTTTGGTAGGTTTTGTTATCGCGTCACTTATCAAAAAATTGAATAAAGTTTATGGAACAACGAATGATCATTTCACAGTCATGGGACATAGTTTGGGTGGACAAATTTCCGGTTTTGTTGGAAAAAATTTACAACAACCTGAAAAATTACGTCTTATAATTGGCTTAGATCCGGCAGGACCAGCATACAGCGATGTATCCGATAAAAGTCGTCTAAATCCGAATGATGCTAATTTAGTGATAACTATTCAAACGAATGGTGGAGAAAATGTTGCTAATGGATTGGGAATTTTAAAACCAAGTGGTCATTATAGTTTTTTTCCGAATGGTGGTGAAGATCAAGAAGGATGTGAACAGGCACGAGGTATTACTAATATGTTGCTTCGAGGTATATCCGTTGGATTGAGCGATACATTTGCATGTTCACATCGACGAGCCTATCAATTAATGTCCTTTAATGAATCAAATTTTGATGATTTCCAAAGTTTAGCCCATCGTTGTGATAATTACGAAGATTTCGCTGCCGGTAAATGTGGTGAATGTGAAAAACCTGAAGATTGTATAAGATGGGGTGGCTGGTATGATTATTGGCAAGAACAAAAACCACCAAAAAACTGGGAGAAACCATTAGTGTATTTCATTAAGACACGTGGTGAATTACCGTATTCATATTATTTTTATCAAGTTTTAATAAAAACTTCGGATAAATTTGAACCGATAAAGGCCAAATTAAATTTAATCATGACCGGTAATGTACGTTCAGATTATTCAGTACAAATTAGTTTCGAAGCAAAATTGGAACCAAACCAAACATATCCACATTTGGTTTTTTTGGCAAAATCAATTGGATTAGTAAAATCAATCAATTTGAAAATTTCCACTGAAACGAAGAAAAATGCATATATCTATATTGATCACATAAAAGTCAATTATATGAATGGTTATGACGAAAGGTATGTATGAATGAGAATTTAATGAAGAAAAAAAACTGATCAATCCATTATAATAGTATACGTCAAAAATTATCACCTAAATTAAAACCGGTGTCCGAAAAAGATGGAAAAATTATCATCAATAGTCCTGAAGCCACCAGATTTGAATACATCAATGAACATTGAAAATATCAAGGTGAAATAATTATAGTTTGTTATCAAATTGTATGAAAAAAATAATTTTGATCTTATTTTGTGGTAAATAAAAATTTAAATCAACGAAAAAAACACGAACAAATAATCAAGCTTTGCAAGTATTGCCATCTATACTCCACATCGCGATTTAGCAGACTTTGAATTTGAATTTGTAATTGTAAATCCAAATAAAAATATAGTTCACGAAAAACCAAGACTTTAAAGAGATTCTTTTTATTATTATTATTATTATTATTATCAATAGAATTATGATATAATAATAAATCAAATCAATAATTCACAAAAAAATAGGATAAAAACAATCAAATAATTAACATTAATGCAATCATGTTTTTGTATGTGTGTGTTTGATAAATATGATGCTTCATTTTTTCCATTAGAATTCATTCGAAAAATATATATCCAATTAATGAGAGCAATGAAGAAGGATGATGAAGAAAAAATATATATTTATTTAGTTACGTGAAGATTTTGTTTGTGTTAATGTATAGAATATAAAGATGATGAGCATGTTTCAACAACAGAATTAATTTTACAAATGAAAAATGATAATAATAATAATTAATAATAATAAGAAATTCAAAATTGGCAAAGATCAGAGAATTGTTTCATTTCAAATCAATATTCTTGTTTTTTATTGTTGTATACAATGTCAATCAGAGAGAGAAGAAAATTAAATACAGATAATTCGTTTGCCAAAAAACATTTGATTTGATTTGTTTGTGTAAATAGATTAAAATTATATATCGATTGTTAGATATAAGGATAAATGTCGTAATGAAAATGTAAATAAAAAGAAAGCAATTTTATTAAATTTTTTTTTCAATATTTTTCGGTCTTCAAAAATGAAAAATGAAAAAAAAACAATAGCAAAAAAGGGCAGAGTCTAAATTAGCCAGATTAATTTACAATTGATTTGATGATTTATGATGATGATAATGATATTAAAAATGATAATTGAAATATTATCAGTTGTGAATCTGTTTGTGTGTGTGTGTATGTAAATGTGTTGACATTAAAAGAGTATATATTTTAATGATAAATCAACAATCATAATAATAACAATTTACAGATTTATTTTTTTTCTAATATTTCAAATATTCATTCAATTGATTGTTGGCTGTTGTTTGTTTTAATATTTTTTTAATAAAAAAATATAATTTCTGTCATAAATATTTATTATTTTATTTTCATTTTTTTCAACATTTATTGTAGGTAAAACGTATTAATGGATCAAATAAAATTGGATGGATCAATTTGATAATGATGATGATAATGTGCTGTCACTTTGGAATGAATGAAGAGGCAAAGACCATAGACCGTCAATCGATAAATGATGAAACTATTTAAAGGAAGAAGTATTTTAAGTGTGTGTGTGTGTTTTTGAATAAACAATTTTTTTTGATGATAAAGATGAAAAGAAAAATTGTGTTTTTTTAGGCCCCAAAAATGATTTTCATTTTGTTTTGATTTACATATGAGTGAATATATATCTATAGGGAGAGAAAGCAAAAGTAATAAACAAACACAACCACATGAAGACTTAAACAGCAACAATAATAACAACAAAATTTCCGGATTCAATATAATTGGATTTCATCGTCTGAATGCATGGAGTGATATACTTGATTTTGTGTTTTGTGTCATAAATGATTTCGGTTGAAGACTTTTGCAAGAGTAAAATTTCTGTTCGTTTCGGTTTCATAATTCTGCGTTTTTTCAAAATATAAAATTTATCGAAGAATCATTATAAAATATATAATTTTTTTATACAATTAACAAAAAAAAGTTAATAGATGTCTGTATGTGCAATGTTATTGATGATGAAATGATTGTTTTGTTTCAAAATACTTTTCATACGCATAAATAGGAGAACAAAAATAAATTGGAGCCAAAAAGGAAATGGTAATAGTATGTGTGTGTGTATGTATGCATGTATCATTTCTTCAGTCATCTGTGTTAATTTTCAAGGTTTTTTGTTATGTTTCGAAATGAAATATTAGAAAATTATACTTTTGTATCTATGTGATAATAGTGCTGCGGTCAATATGAAACAGAATATATTTTTTAAAATTTGAAATGAATTCAAACAAAGAAGAAAAAAGAAAGGAGAAACCATTGTCAACAACAAAAAAAGAACACAACAACAACAAATAATAATAATAATAATAATAACAAAGAAGAATGACAAAAAAATAATCATTATGTAGGCGTGTATGAAAACAACTGTGACAGAATTTTTGTAGAAAACACTGTTAGATTATGATGATAATGTATTGAGGGGAGATAATAGAAAATTGAAAGATGATAATAAAAAAATTTCAGTAACAGAAATACACACTTTTTACATGCTCCAACACACCCACACACACGAAAAATTTTTATGGATTTTTAATTGAAAAATTAAAAAAATGATTTTTTTTCAATATGAATCGTAATCATGTGAATGTTGAATAATTAATGCGAATGAGAATGATGATGATGATGATAATGATGAGCATAACTATGATTTAATCTTGATTCAATTACATAGATACAAATATAAAATATCAATTTTTTTTTGTTATATATTCATTAACAATCAATAATAATTATATTCTATGAAAGGAAAAATGTTGATCATTTCTTTTTTGCGTGTAACATTTCCATCAATAATGTTTGCGTTGGTGCTGAACCATTCATGTGTTTATAATAAAGAAAATCTTCCCCCCTTAATGTGAGAGCATGTATTTCGGGTACCAATGCAAATAAAAGATTGAACTTATCCTATTATAAAAAAACGGAAATTGAATTATTATTTTTTTTGCTTTGTACACAGATTAATTTTGAATCGAAAAGAAAATTATTACCGTAATTTGTGGATAAAAATTGAGACAATAATCCAATAATGCTTGTTTCGTTTGTTCATATGCATCATGAACTAATTTGAAATTTGTCAAACCTCGAACTTCTATGTATAACATTTGAACCGATTTTGTTATTGTTGATGATGATAAAGAGTATGAAAATAAATTTAAAAAAAGAAAATTAGATAACTAAATGGATAGAATATCATATAATACTGACCGGGATTTAGTAACAATAGAAATTTAAGACATATATAATCATTTGTATCGAATTTAAGTTCTTGTAACCGTGCCGTAACTCGGTGTAACTGATCGACTACTTGTGGTACGCCTAACAATGCCAATGATAATAAATCAAATTTTTGTCCATTAGGTAAGGTAGTTTCATCCGGTAAACCGGCGTGTATCCGCTGATGTATATGGTCCAACACTAACATATCACTCCAGGCATTTTGTAATAATTTCATTTGATCATCAACCTAAAATTTAAAAAAAATAAATCAATTAATAACATATGCAACACATGATTTCAAGGCTAACCTTTAAATCTTTGAAAAATATGGAATTACGAGCCCAATCCACTTGAGCAAACAATGATTGATCAATAACTTTGCACATCAATTCAAATAGATCAACTTCACATTGATTATATGTTTGATTTTGTAATAGGCTATATAATTGTGATTGCCATTCTTTATCATCTAACATTGATAATTGTAATTCTCTCATCAATTGTGGCAGAACCAATTTGGTCTCATAATGCTGTTGTTGTTGCTGTTGCTGCAGCCCAGATTTGCCACTGGGACCTGTATTATTACCATTATTATTGCTTGGACCCGGGCCATTTGGACCCCATTTCAATATATGTTGATCACCACCACTCATCATGGATTGTGAAAGATTGGCACCAGCCAGATTGGATGATTGTTGCTGTAAAGTGGATGGAACCAAAGGTGACATGAAATGAGGATGACCAGCAGCAGCAGCTGCGGCAACGACATTTGGTAGTTGACCAGCAGCAGCCGCAGCTGCAGCAGCTGCTACACCGGCCGTTGATCCAGGCGATGGTGATGAATCAGGTGAAGATGTTGATGAAGATAATTGCGGAATTTGTATCAATTCGGGTTTCACTCCATCGAATATGGAGCCAGCGTGCGAACCAGGCGCGGTATTCAAAAAGTTGAGAGCTTCATTGGCAGCGGCTGCTGCGGCAGCAGCAGCAGCAGATCCTGGTAATATTGTAGCACCAGGAGGTCCGAGACTACCGCCATTACCAACCCCAACAACATGATGTGCTTTTGATAGTTGTTTTTGTCGTAATATTTGTAACCGTCTAGCGCGATCTCTTTTATACATTGGTCCGAACTTATTCCGTCCACCACGCATACGATCAGCACGAACAGCTATAACAATTTTTAGAAAATTAATCAATCAATTAATTCAAGGTCAAAATAATGAATGGCTATTGCTAAAAAACAAGATATAATACCTTCAAGCTTCATGCCGACATCGAGACATTTTTGAAAACGACAATATGGACATCGTTTACGTTGCGATTTATCAATATGACAATTACGATCAGCTACACAAGTATAAACTTTTTTGTTCTGCACTGTACGTTTGAAAAACCCTTTACAAGATTCACAGGTTAATAGGCCATAATGATAACCGGAAACACGATCACCACAGACTGGACATAATTCTTCAATACAATCCTTTGGATCGGAATTTGGTGACGAACTAGCAGCAGTGACAACTGCAGCAACACTAATTGTTGGCTGTTGATTATTATTATTCATTAACGGTAACATTGTTTGCTGTTGTTGTTGCGGTGTTAATGCTAGATTTGGATGTTGGCCGCCACTCATTTGTGATTGATGATGTTGTGGTTGATGATGATGATGATGACCACTGGTTAATGATGATGAAGATGATGATGGAGGGGGTGGTTGCTGTTGTGTATGATAATCCATCATATGATTATTATTTGGAGTATTAGCGGTTAATGAACCGCTTGAGGCTAACATGTTGCCGGATACTGTATTCGCAGTGCTATTCAAATTATTATTGAGATTATTAGTCGGTGATTGAGATGCCGTGGATGATGATGACGATGGTGGGGGTGGTGGTAGATTCGGATCAGTATTATTTTCAGTCAATGGTTCGGAATTTGGATTCAATTGTTGTTGTTGATGTGTTTGATGTTGAAGTTGCGTCTGTTGATGATTATGATGTGATTGATCCAAACAAATGGCAGTGTTATTTTTCGTATTTTTCAGATTAGCAGGCGGTGATTCTTGTTCAGATTTAATATTTAATAAAATATTCGGTGTTGAATGTGGAAGGATCATTGAATTTTGTGTTGTCGTTATTTTATTATTATTATTAATTGTTGTCGATGTTTTCGCTGATAATACCGTATTGTCTGTAGCCGATATTATTGGCTGAGTAAAACTAACAATTGTATCCGTATTATTATTAACAATGATAGACGACGCTGTGGTGGTCGTTGTCGTCGTTATTGAAGAATTCAATGAAACAGATGATGTCGATTGTGTGGATGTTATAATAGTTGATGATGGTAATAATGAATTTGAAGTTTTTGTTGAAACTGAAATTGGAATTGATGATATTGTTGTTGTCGTTTCTGTAATTGAAGATGATGGAGACCTATTTTGATTATTATTACTAGTATTGTCACCAACTACATTTGTTGATGATGGAAAAGATGTGGCTATTGTCGCTGTTGTTGATGTTGATGATAATGAAGGTGTTGGTGGTGATGACGAAGATGATGATGAAAAGGAAGAAGAATTCGTAGCCGATATCGTCTTGATAATTTGGCTACTGTCACTAGAATTATTGGCCAATGTTGATTTTTCTGTAAAAGAGAATAAAACAAACAAAAACAATGAATAAGAAAAAACACAAACAAATTTAAAAACAATTTTTATTATTTACAATTTTTTACACAAAAAAATTATTGTGGTTAAGAATTAAAAAAACAAATCAATCGGTAACACAATGATAACATAGCCAAAAACGAGTCCAACAACGAATCATTAATAATTTTTCATTCTTTATCATATCCATCATAATAATTAATATTATCCAGAATGTTAAAGAATTGCGATAAAAAACATAATTAAATCCACACCTCCTCACAAAGAATAAAAGAGAGAATTAAAGATTAAAGATTTTTTTCTTTGTTGACTAGAATTTTAAAATTATGATAAATTGATCAATCAATATTAATAATAATAAATTATGTCGATTTGTCGACGATGATTACTTTGATGATGATGATAATGATAATGAATAACGTTGGCAGTGTCAATGGCAGTTGTTTTTTTCTTTCATTCATACAACAAAACACACAACATTAATTGATTTGATTCATTTCTTTTTTGTTGTTGTCAAATAATAACAACAATAACATCAACAAAAAAGAATTAAATGTCTCATCCATATCTATGTTGAAACAAACGCGCCTGTTTGGTGAATTTGAATTTTGGTTGTTATTTAGTTTCTTATATGGAACAAATAAAAACATGCACATACAAAACACATAGACATGTGTACAGAGATATTTGAGAAAGAAAAAAAGAAGAAAAATCTCAAATGTAAAGATGTTTGTGCAATCGTGTATGTATGTATGTTTGGATACTGAAAATAGTAATTTTTCAATGATGATGTTGATGATTGTGGTAAATGATATATACGTTTGTATAAAAATGTGTATCTCTTCTTTTTTCTTTTCGTCTACTGACATAGACATAGATTATATTGAATTGAATCGAGGACTCGTGATGGCAACGACGACAATAACGATGATAATAACGAAATAATAATAATGATGATGATGACAATCATCATCATCGTAATAATAATAAGTGTTGGCTAAGTCGCCAGCGCAAAATTTTATTTATTTTCTGTTTGTTTGTTGTGTAGTCTGTTTTCTGTATGTTTCTCGTTGTTCCATGTATGTTTATTTGCCACCAATTTTTTACGTACAGTTTTGTAGGGAGCCATCATAGATGCATAGCAGACACACATACATCAAAACATTTGGACCTAATCGTTTTTTTTGAAAATATATTGCGCGCGTTTCGAATAATAGTACAGTTATTTTTTGCAAAATACGAGAATCAAAGTTGGCTAAGTTTATAAGTGAAAAATGAAGCGCACGAGTTGATTTAGAGATGTGAAGAAATCGATAAAATGATACGAAAACAGTTAGAGATGCGCAAGAGTTTTGGATTTATTTGATTTCATTTATTTGAAAATTTTCTCAAATAATAAAATTCTATTATAAATAGCACAAAGTACATAAGAAAGTGAAATAGAAAGAAGATATATCCGCTACATATAAGAGTTTGCTACAATTTTTTTCCTTTTTCATTTTTCCCAATATAGTGTATAGTTTTCGCAATCATTTGACCACTTGAATACTTTCGAGATAATGAGAGAAGAGACAAAAATCATCATGAACATGTATGCACACTAACCGCATATTAAGAAATTCCTAAACTAAATGAGCAAAAGTAAAAAAATAAAAGTGATAAGGAATCTGAATGGAGAACTAAAAACTAAATTATGAAAAATGGAAAATTTCAATGAATATTCTTTTTTGGAAAAAAGATTGAAAATGATAAAATTGATTTTTTTCCAAAAATGTGAAAAACAGACACAAGAAATAGTGAAAACAATTTAACTTTTTCTTCGATCATCATAAAATAGCAAAAATTTTTCATTTTATTTCTAAAAAGTTTTTATTTTATACACACAAACACAATTGTGAATGGCAATACACAATTTGATCCTCATGATCAATCGGTAATGTTGTAGCTGTGTTAGCAGTATTGTTGACCCATTTTATCTTCCCAAAATCAAATAGTTATAAATGCTCGTCATCATCCTCAACAACAACAACAACGACAAACTATGACAAAAGTATTATATATAGATATTTTGTTGTTGTTCATTTCTAAATTCTATTCGAATGAATAAAAGAATCAGATGATGGTGATGACGACGACAACAAGTAAAACGATCATGATCATCATTCTCACTTTTTTCAGTTTTGAGGTCTTGGTCTTGATTCTCATTGTTGGTTCGAATCAATTGCTCCAAATTCGTGGTTGCAAAAAAACAGCAACAACAAAAAAAAACAAACTCATTCATTTGTGTTCCAGTTTTTCTTTTTGTTTTCAGAGAATATATTTTTCAAGCATTATTGTTTGCGACCTAGAAATGAGAATTCCAAGTAAATCGAGTGGTTGAATAGAAATATTTTATCCTGATGATTATTCTCTATCCGATCTACATTTTTCTCGAACATAACATAACATTATCCATATAGTGAAAGAATCATTTAATATATGCCAAATACACAAACACACGTGCTTTGGAACCATTTAAAATTCTGCATTATCATTTTATGGCGCCATTTTATTCTTTCAGATTCATATAATATAGAAGGAAATAGGGACCAAAAAAATAGAAGAAATAAAAACAACATCGGAACCATTTAAAATATACGGGAACACAGACACAATGGATTGACCTTGGATCTAATGAAACATTGAATAAAGAGAAGAAAATAGACAAATGGATAGTGGAACATTGGATTGTATGTCTGCATGCTAGCCGCAATGTCTATGATGATGATAATGATGATGAAAATAGATATAGAAGAGAAAAATAATTTCAGTGAGATCCAAATTGGCAGGCGTATATATGATAATGATGACTGGGCTCCATATGTCCTATCTATGCGCGTGTGTTTTTGAATGAAAAAAGACCTCGACTCAGTGACCTCATTTCTCTTTCTTTTTGTTATTATTGTTGTTGATGATGATATTCAATGTGTATCCGAAAATTTCACTATCGCTAGGATCAACCTCACATGTTTTATATTTTCTTTTTTTTACCATCCACTTTTTCAATTACTAATGCAATAATACTATATACACACAAAAGCAATAGATTATTATAATTTTATAGCGTAGTTTTTCAGCGTCAAAACAATAGAAGAATAGGTCTAGATCGATAAAGAAATGACGATAAATAAATTTTAGATGATTTAGGATTTTCCGGTTTCATGAATGAGAAGGAGAAAAATATTGAAAATCAAATGTTTGCAAATACCGGAATAAAAAATTTTCGGCAAAAACATGGTAAATCATCATGTTGAAAATAGTTGAAAGAAATGAAGAAAATTTTTCACACAAATACATAACATAAATACACACCTGTTTAACCTTGGATTTTTTTGTTGAAAATCAAAATGAAAAGTAAATTCAGTTTTTTTGTTCTCTATTCTAACAAGTTCGGCTTTTTCATTCTCTTCATTTATTTATTTTATTTTTCATCATCATCATCATCAACATCAGCAAAATATCTTGTTTATACATGTTTATTGAATGAATTAATGGAAAAGAAAATTATTATACAAATAACAATAACGAATAGAAATGGAAAGTTAAAAATAAACATTTTTTTTTGTCATCCTTGATACGAGAAAAAAAATCCCAGAAATAAAATACTAACATATAATCTTCCGATATAAAATCCCTTGCGGAAAAAACAAAAACAGTTTAAGAATTTTAAAATGGCATAATTTAGAAATGATTTTTTTTGTTCATCAAACAAAATATTGAAAAAAAATTGTTGTTCAAAATAAGTTCTAGATGTATTTGATCATCACGATTGATGATGACAATAATCATGATAAATGAATGTTGAATGTTTAAGCAATCTACATCATAACGAATAAAGGAAAACAAAAAAATGATGGAGTGCTTCTTATACTCTTTAAGCAACTTTCGAGCATCATTTTTTTATTTTTGATATTTGACAATAATCAAAAAATAAATAAGTTCGCAAAAAAAAATCTTAAAAAAAAAGTTTTCAGAGAACAAGACATCAATATGTTAGGCGAACATATTTCACAATCGCTTGCAAAGAAAAAAAACTTATTGAAAAAAATACATAAAATTCCAAATCAAGGAAGTGTTAGGAATTTTACTGAGAAACAAAGTTCTTCAGAAGAATTTCGAAAAATTATGATTCAACAGGTTGTTGTTTCGAAATAATCTTGAATAATTTAACAAAAAAAAACAAAAACAAAAATGAACTTGAAATCTTTTTTGTCTGAATTATTCGACCAATTGAATTGTTTGAATTTATAATTTAAAAATTCATTCAAACGTCTCGAATCAAAGCGATTTTTAATTCAAATCGGTTCGATAGATTTATAATTATTTTTTCATTCATTCGTAACAAGATTATAATATAACCAAAATATCATTATCAATAATAATAACCTATGATTAAAAAAATTTTTCCCAATTCATAATTAACGACATGCTTGTTGAAGCAAGCAAAAAAACCACTTTTTGGATAAAAAAGAAAACAATTTTTCAAAGTCTAGTGAATGGAAAATTTCTGGAATTTTAAAAAAAGGGTTCGAAATTTTCATAAAAAATATATTACATAAGAAACTTGTCAGTTTGTTTTTTGTTTCAATTTATTTAATATACAACAATTTTTTTGATTTCATATATAGCCAAAATTTCTAAATAAATAAACAAACAATCTTTTGACCATTGCGTTATCGATCTAAATAAATAAATGATGAGAAAACAAAACAATAATAGAAAATATAGACAAATAAAAAAAGAAACAAACGACAATAACAACCACTATTTCGTAATTTTGTTGTCGTTTTATATTTCATTCATTTATTTTATAAAATTCGATTTCGTGGCCAATTTTCACATTTTTTCTTTCTTATTTTTCATGTTATTTTATCTTCCGTAGTTTCCACCGTGAAGCATAAGTCGTGAATGGTGTTGGAGGTCAACAAGTAAACAAAAA